CTCAATCTCTTGATCTTGTGATCCACCCACCTCAGCCTCCCAAAGTGCAGGGATTACAGGCACGAGCCACCACATCCGTCCTGATTTTTGTATTTTTAGTAGAGATGGGGTTTCGTCATGTGGGCCAGGCTGGCCTCAAACCCCTTAGCTCAAGTAATCCACCTGCCTTGGCCTCTCAAAGTGCTGGGATTACAGGTGTGAGCCACCGTGCCTAGCCTTTGTGGCCATTTCAAGAATTGCTCAGGTGATGAAGGGCATGAATATTTTAAAAAATTTATTTTTAAATTAATATATCATAAAGTTCATTCTTTTGGAGTAGAGCTCCATGAGTTTTAAGGAAATGCACAGATTTGTGTAACCATCACCCTAGTCAGAAGAGTTGCGTCACCTCTCCAAATTCCCTTGAGCTGCCTCTTAGCCCTTTACAGTCAAACCCCACTGCCAACCATCCCTGTTTCCCTTCTGTTTAACCTCTGGCGACCCCTGAGCGGTCCTCTGCCCCTCTTTTTGCCTCTTTCAGAATGTCATCTAAATGGACTCATACAGTATGTAGCCTTTTGTATCTATCTTCCTTCAGCCTGGCTTCGTGCATTTAAGAGTTCTTCCTAAGGTTGCAAGTATCAACAGTGTGTTCCTTTTTATGACTGAGTAGTGTTCTATCATGTGGATACACCACAATTTGTTTACTTTCACCAGCTGAAGGATATTTGTGTTGTTTCCTGGTTTTTCAGCAGTTATGAATGAAACATCTATCAATATTTGCATATAGGCTTTTGTGTAAATGTATGTTTACCTTTCTCCTGGGTAAATACCTGGTAGAGATGGCTGGGTCATGTGATAGGATGATAGGAAACCTCCAAACCGTTTTCTAAAGTGGATGTGTCCCTCTTCAGTCCCAGCGGATTTGTCGTTGCTCTGCACCCTCACCAGCCCTTGGCCTTGTCAGTTTTTTGTTTTTAAAATTTGAGTCATTCTAATGAGTGCAGTAGTGGCGTCCCAAACTTTCATTTGTATTTTCCTAATGACTAATGATGCTGAGCATGTTTTCATGTGCTCATTTGCCATCTGTACATCTTTTTTGGTGTCAAAATCTTCTGCTTATTTTTTTAAATCCATTTGTTTAATTATGGTAGAGTTTTGAGAGTTCTTTTTTTTTTGAGACAGAGTGTCACTCTGTCACCCCGGCTGGGCTGCAGTGGCACAATCTCGGCTCACTGCAACCTCTGCCTCCTGGGTTCAAGCAGTTCTCTTGCCTCAGCCTCCGGAGTAGCTGGGATGACAGGCATGTGCCACCACGCCCAGCTAATTTTTGTATTTTAGTAGAGACAGCATTTCACCATACTGGTCAGGCTGGTCTCGAACTCCTGACCTCAGGTGATCCACCCACCTCGGCCTCCCAAAGTTCTGGGATTACAGGCGTGAGCCACCGTGCCCAGCCTCGAGAGTTCTTTGTCTATATTCTGCATATAGGTCCTTTGTCAGATATGTGATTTGCACTTGTTACCCTCCCAGTCTGTGGCTTGCCTTTCCCTTTTCTTAACAGTACCTTTGCAGATGAAAAGTTTTTCATTGTGATGAACTGCCAATTTATCAGTTTTTCTTTTTCTTTTATGGATTGTGCTTTTGGTGGTGTGTCTAAGAATTTTTTGCATAACAAGTTTGCAAAGGTTTTCTCCTATATTTTTTTCTAAAAGTTTGCATTTTACATAAGTCTATTATCCATTTGAAGTTTTTAAAAAATATGGTTTCAGGTAGAGTTCAAGTCTGAGTTTATTTTCATATGGATGTTAAATTATCCCAGCAGCATTTATTGAAAATGCTGTGTTTTCTCCATTGAAATATCCTTTTGCTTTCACAAAAAGTTAATCAGCCATATTGGTTTGTTTTGTTTTTGGACCCTCTACTCTAATTCTATTGGCTGTTGTGTCTGTCCTTTCTCCTTTCACATTTTAGAATCAGCTTGCCAATATCTACAAAAAATCCGAATGGTGCCAGGCATGGTGGCTCATGCCTGTAATCCCAGCACTTTGGGAGGCCACAGTGGGTGGATTGCTTGAGGTCAGGATTTGAGACCAGCCTGGCTAACATGGTGAAACCCTGTCTTCACTAAAAATATGAAACTTAGCTGGGTGTGGTGGTGTGTGCCTGTAATTCCAGCTACTCAGGAGGCTGAAGCTGGAGAATTACTTGAACCCGGGAGGTGGAGGTTGCAGTGAGCAGAGATCATGCCACTACACTCTGGCTTGTGCAACAAAGCCAGACTCCAGCTCAAATAATAATAATATTAAATAAATGAGATTTTGACTGGGATTATACTGAATCCATAAACCAATGTGGGGAAAATTGACATCTTAATAATATAGAGTTTTCCATTTTATTAACATAGTATATTCTCCAAAACATCTTTGATTTCCTTTGTCAGTGTTTTGTGGTCTTCAACATACATACGTTACACATTTGGTTAGATTTTTACCTCTACATATTTTATAGTACTATTGTAAATGATACTATATTTTAAATTTCTATTTCTAATTGCCCATTGCTAGTATATAGAAATAAAATTGATTTTGTATGTGCTAGCCCTGTATCCTCCAACCTCACTAAACACATTTATTGGTTCTAAGAGTTTTTTGGTGGATTCCTTGGAATTTTCTATGTCCTGTCTGTCAATAGCGACAGTTTTAAGTCCTCCTTCCAGTCTGTTTGCCATTAATTTCATTTTCTTACCTGATTGCACTGGCTAAGACATAAAACACAATGTTGAAGGGAGTAGTAAGAGCAGACAGTCTTGCCTTATTTCTGATCTTAGGGGAAAATCATTCAGTGTTTCACATTCAGTATGATGTTATCTGTAGATTCAGTATGATATCTGTAGATGTTATCTGTAGATTTTGGTGGATGAAAGGTATGCATATTCTCTGAACTTGGAGTTCAGAGAATAGGTTATGGAGTCAGACTTACTGGGTCTGAATTCTGACTCGACTCCTTAGCAGGTGCCAGACATTGGGGTTTCTGGGAAGACAGGCTAAGAGAGTGCACGTAAAATGCTTAGAACAGTGCCCAGTGTATTATATGCTCTCAGTGAATGTTAGTTGTTATTACATCTGGACAGCAGTAAAGATGGCCAAAGAGCTCATGGAGCCTGGATAGAGGAATTTTTTGGCCCCAACTTTGGAGATTCTGATGCCCATATTGAAAAGTTTGGAGAACTTTTGGGTTCAGGTGTGGATTCTCATTGAGTCATTGAGCACATTTGGGTCCCAACACTCTCTGCATCAGGGATATGGGGGAATCCATACCAAAAGAACAGGTTGTTCCTCAGGTAGAAGAGGAAAAATAAATCCCTAAAGAAATTGAAGAGGCACGAATGTGTGGCTAAGGGAAAATACACTTGAAAATAGGTGTGATAAATTATGGAGAATTGCAGTGGGAGGTGTAGAAGATGTGCGTGTCTGTGGTGGGAGCAGGGCGTGGTGGGGGGGCTGAGCACAGCACGTGTTAGGAGCATGGCTCGTGGTTCACTCGTCACAGTGGACTTAGTTCATCTTCCCCTTGCCTCTGTTGAGTTGACAGAGCAAGATCTTAGATCAGAGAATGAAAGTTGAAGTTATAAGCATTTGAGTCATGCAGTGGACTGAGCTCCCTGTCGCTGAAAGGATTCAAGCAGAGTTGCGGTGGCCAGTGGCCAGTGGTCCGGGAAGTTTTAGAGGGGCTTGTTGTGCAGTGTGAATGTCCGGGTTGAGTAACTTGCCAAGACTGTCTTCATGATCCAAGATTCTTCAACCTTGAGCCAAGAACAGGGACACCTGGGGAGGGAGCCGTGCAGCTGGGCCCATGGCTCCCAAGCCTCCTCTCTCTACCTGGCCCATTTGGGAAGGGATCATGTGACACTAAAGTCTGGGGCAGCGGATGAAGGGAGAGCAGGTTCTGGGCTGAGATCTTGGAGCTGGGGAGGGGGAGCTTGGGCATTGCCTTCGAGCCACAGTCCCACAGGTGAGCAGATATAGCAGCAGGTGTGGCCATCGGCGGCTGCGCTGTCTTCGCTGGGCTCATGGAGCTCAGTAGCCTATGCTTTCGGCAAGGTGTTGCCATGGTAACCTTTTCCTCTCTTCTCTGCAGTCCACCACTGCTTCCCGACTTGGTTAACAAGGCATCTCCTCCTGTTTGGCTTCATCTCATCTTGTCCTTTTTCGTGCTCTCTCCATTTCTCTTGGTCGCTCTCACTCACTTCTTTGCATCTCTCTCTGTACCTCTCCTTTTGTGGCTGCCCTCCTCCTTGTCTTTTTTTTTTTTTTTTTTTTTTTTTTTTTTTTTTTTTTTTTTTTTTTTTTTTTTTTTTTTTTTTTTTTTTTTTCTTTTTTGAGATGGAGTCTTGTACTGTTGCCCAGGCTGGAGTGCAGTGGCACAATCTCAGCTCACTGCAATCTCCGCCTCCTGGGTTCAAGTGATTCTCCTGCTTTAGCCTCCCAGGTAGCTGGGATTATAGGTGCCCATTACCATGCCCAGCTAATTTTTTGTATTTTTTTTTAATAGACATGGGGTTTCACTATATTGGCCAGGATGGTCTCAAACTCCTGACCTTGTGATCCACCTGCCTCGGCCTCCCAAAGTGCTGGGATTACAGGTGTGAGCCACTGTGCCCAGCCCCTTGTCTTCTCTTTCAAGTGATCTGCCTCTCTTCCATTCTATTCAAGGCTGGAGTGAAGTCCCTCAGCCTCTTCCTCACTTCCAAGCATGAGCACCTCCTTGAAGATTTCTCTCCGGCTCTGTTGGGTCCAGGGCTGCCATTTGCTTCCCCAATGCAGCCGTTCCTGGGTGGTACCAGGAATGGGAAAAGCTCTTCTGGGGCCCTGTCTTCTTCCTCTGTGAGGAGATCCATGTGGGTAGATTCCACTCTGGGGTCCTTCCCTCTTTTTGGAAAAATGAGATTGGGGTGAGGTTCTCCTCTAGGCTTGGTTTGGGTTGGCTTTATCTACAGTGCTAAATAAACTCAGACACTGGTCTGTTGTTAGGGCTCCACCACACATTCAGGGTGGAAGTGACAAGTCTAGACACTTCCATGAGATTCGTTATGGAGCACAAGCTTCTCCTTGAAGTCACCCTTCCTAGTGCCTCTGTGACAGTCTTTCAGCCCCTCATCCAGCCTGCTTGATTAGAGTCATTAACCACTTAGTGTCAAACTATAGTCTCTTCTTCTGTGTGTCTCGGCCGGGGAATGAAGATTCGCCGTCTTGATTTTCTTTCCTCAGGACCTTATGTTCCAATACTACTCAGCTCGAGGATTCTTAATGATGCTGCTCTTCCCTTTGCTGTCTCAGGCTGGACGAGAACCGTAGGATGAGGGTAGAGGCTCTGCGCTGGTATCTGCTAGGATCCTATTATCTGACCAAAGCTTCAGAGCCCATCTTTGCTGGTTACAGGATTAAGCAGCTCTGTTAGCACAGCCAACTTACAGTCCTGGCCAGTGGAGTAAAGCATTTGCAGGTAGAACGTTTAACAACAAAGAAGGGAACAGGAAGGGCTGCAACTGGAATGTAACTGAAACGGCTCTGCCAGCACTAATGAGCTGGCCTGGCTTCTCTGCTGGCTTGCTATTAGGGAGTGGTGAGCCTCCAGAAGCTTGTTTAAAATGCTGTATGCAGAGGACTACACAAAGCAGGTTTTGATCCTATATTTCAACCTGCAGAACAGGACATTTTAACTCAGAAACTGTGTTTTAAAAGTCTAGTTACGAGATTTCTAGGAAAGGGCTGCAGAAGCTGTTTTTCCTGCCTCCTCTTGGGATCCCCATTTAATGTCCTCGCAAAGTCAGGGACATTTAAGTGTTGCTTTTCCTTGGGTACATCGAGGCAGACAAACACATTGCCTTTCCCTGGAGGGAACTCTTCAGAATCATACATGAAACACAGCGATGTGTTCTATTTTCTAGTCACGGTATCTTCTGTGAACCAATTGGCAATTCTTTTCTTTATAGAGTGCTTAACAGAAGTTAAATCCACAGTTTCCAAGGGCAGCAAGACCCCCGGGGCACCACTGGAGGGGTCAGGAGGGGAAGGGAGTCATCTTCTATGACTATCAAAGGGCCTTGATTCCTATTTTTCTCCCTTTAAGAAAAAAAGATGCAGCCTTAATCTTAAAATGTGAAGTTTTAGTATTTGGGATTTTTAAAAATTAAATGGAAATGTTGGCTAACAGTTGGGTAGCAGGTCTTCCAAGGTTGCAGGGATATCTGTCTAGATTCCCTGAAGTGGCTGCTCTCTCCTTCCTTATTTGGACTGTCACCGTGACGACCCGTGGCCTGTCATCCGTAGCACATTGACCTTGACTGTTTTGTGGGAAGGAGACTACCTGAGCACTTGATGAAAACCACACACTATTGGGTTATTGGCATTTGGGGCAGGCCAGTTCTTTATGGGGTAGCCATGTCAAGTATATTGCAGCATGCTTAGCACTGCAATATACAAGAACAACATCATAAAGAATCCTCAAGTTGAATACTATTGGAACATAAGGTCCCCAGCCCCTAAGTGCCTGTAGTACCCCTCGTCAATGTGTGCATGGGGCAGAAATGCCCCAGTCATTTCTGAAGGAGTCTAGAGGACTGTCCACAGGGAGCAGATAGGGTAAGGCAGGGTGGGTCTTGCACAAGGACAGCAGACCCAAGGAGTTTGAATTCTAGCAGAGATTCTGCTACGGGGTGGGCAGCCTGGGGCCAGACTGGGGCTGTGTAGAGGAAGGGATACCTTTGCAATGTGTGCTAGGGATCTCTGTGGGTTTGCTCTGCACCCAGCCATCACCCCTGGCTAAAGACTGCTGCCGGAGACCCTCTCCCCAGCAAAACTCACCTATGTGGGTTCACAGGCGTTTAACGTCTGACTTCCTAGTGCTTCTGACTGGCTCAGTGCAGTGCCGAGCATGCAGCAGGTGCTCAGGGCATGTCTGTTGACTGAGTGAAATGAATAAGCCTACCTGTGGTTCTGTCAGAGTCCAAAGATCCTTGGCGACGAACCCCTGCTCAGTTCCCAGAGGCATGGATTCCCTTTGTCTGAATCCCCTCTGTCTAAAAGCCTTTTCAATGTTTTGCTAATGCTTTAGGTATGGCCAGGGAGGTTCAGACTGTGAGACTCTATTGGCACAGACTCAAAATGGGAGAGCGAGGGAGAAAATCGGACACTGGGAACCTGGAATTTCACTTTTTTTTCCCTTCAAAGAAGCCACAGCCCACACTTCCTGGTTATAAGCTCTCAGTCTCCACTTTTTCCCACCCTCTGCTCTGTCTTCTATTTTCTTACATTCAAATTCTCACGCCTCCTTTACCCTCATAATATGACATTTTGGAATTATTTTCTATTCTCAGAGCTCAGACTAAATGAAGAATCCCTGATGATCTCTTTGTTTTCGGACAGAATCAGGCTTGGTGTTACCAGGATTCATGGTTTTCTTTCCTCTTTCTTTTGTACAGAACTTTCATGTTCTTTTTTTCATTAGTTCAGTTGTTCATTCATACTTTATGGAGCCAACCACTCTCCTTGGCTGAATCCAATTAGTGAACTTGGTCTCTGCCTTCACTGAGCCCAGGAAGAGACAGACAGGTAAAACCAGCAATTACACAGTAATTACAAATAGTCATCCTGCTATTTTGATACTTAGTTTCCTTTATAGTCTCCAGAGGGTGGTTACAGTTGTCTGGAAAAGAACCCAATCATTAGACCTGGGATCCTCCTCTTTGTAGTAATTTTATCATTTTTCTGGACCAATGGGTGTTACTTGAGCACATCAAATTCAGCCTTATTGAAAATGAGATAGTTCCTTCCTTTATTAACGCGTGTACTTTGAGCTGCTGTGTTATGTGACTCAGGATGATACTACAAATGTTTCCTTTTCATGGATATTTCCTGTGTGTGTGTGACCTCGACTTTTGAATGTAGGCTTTCCTGTGTGTGTGTGTGTGTGTGTGTGTGTGTGTGTGCTGATACATTTCCTTCTCAATAGAACTGATAATTGTTGCCTGTAAGAGATGAAATCACCTATTGATTTCACAGACCATCTGAGCCCCGTGCTCTTTTTTCCTGAAAGCCTATAGGAAAATGAAGGGTAAGTATGCACTAGAAGCACACATTAATAACATGCTTGTGGATGGGGAAACGTGATTGCAACATGGAATTGGCATTCCTGCTGGTCCTTGTCTGTGAACGTTCACTGATGAAGTATTTAAGATACTCCAGGTAAGCCTTATAATCACCAGGAGTTTCTTGTTTTAAAGCAGAATCAGTGTTTCTGAAAGTCGTGGGATTGACTTCCATTCTATTGAACATCTGCAAGGTCCTTTTTAGAATACGTGTTTAATTGTGTATACCTAAAGGCACAGCAACCGGCTTGGAAATGCTTCAGTGAACACTGGTTCAAATCCAGGGCTGGGACTGGGAGCAGCGACTCACGCCTGTAATCCCAGCACTTTGGGAGGCCAAGGCAGGTGGATCACCTAAGATTAGGAGTTTGAGACCAGCCTGGCCAACATGGTGAAACCCCATCTCTACTCAAAATGTAAAAATCAGCTGGGAATGGTGGTCCCAGCTACTCGGGAGGCTGAGGCAGGAGAATTGCTTACACCCAGGAGGTGGAGGTTGCAGTGAGCCGAGATTGCACCACTGCACTCTAGCCTGGGTGACAGAGCGAGACTCTGTCTCAATCAGTCAATCAATAAAATCCATCCATCCATCCATCCATCCATCCATCCAATCAATCCAGGACTGGACAACCAGACGTTGTCATCCATAAGAGGCATTTTCTTTCATAGCTCTGTGTCTGGTGCTATTAAAATTAGGGTAGTGGTCTCTTTTATTCAGTAATTTCGGTGCAAGGTCACATAGGGTGTTAATTTGTGAACAGAAGACTTTCAGTCTGCTTCTCACCTCAGCTTGATCCCCAGGTGTCCCATGGGGTCAGGAGCAAAAATGGCCACTAAGGCCTACCAGTGCCTATGATCTCCATTCTGCGGTGCTCAGGAATCTCTTTTTGGGATCAGAGATAACCGATTAAAAAGTGTGTGAACAAACATGGCAGAACTCATCTGAACAGACGAGATTGAGCTCCCTGGAAATGCTCAATGTGGAATGATGGCATTATTCAAAAGACTTGACGGAAGTCTCTTAGAAGCCTTCCCAGGGCTGATTTACCATCCACATTTAAAAACTGTAATCCCAGCACTTTGGGAGGCCAAGGCGGGTGCATCACGAGGTCAAGAGATCAAGACCATCCTGGTCAACACGGTGAAACCCCGTCTCTACTAAAACTACAAAAAATTAGCTGGACATGGTGGCACATGCCTGTAATCCCAGCTACTC